TGGAGACCATTTCCAGTCTAGATGAGATGGTAGAACTTCACCTCCCTCTGACATTTTAGGCCTCAAGTTTTAGGGATGCCGTGATTGGAAAACGGTTTCAAAAAAACCAAACAAAAAACCCCCACCCAAACAATAAAACCCCACAAAACCAAAACAAACCAAAAAACCCAAAAACATATTCCACTTCTCATGTCATTTATATTGCTAGGGTCAATTTTTTTTACCTTTCACCCCCCGTTATATTTTTCCCCATGTGTTAAATAGTTGTGATTTACTCAAAATCACTGTTTCTGTTCCTTCTGAGAATGAAGTGCACAGACTGCTGATCTTCAAATGCTACTCAAACCCCAAAATATTTTGCAGTTTACTAGTCAAATCAGATCTACAAACCACTTCCATTTAAAATCCTCTTTAAAGCCTTTGCTGTAACATATAGAATCACCAGTTCTGCGACATCAGACAGTAGCAAATACCATCTCAAATCTGTTCTGAAACAGAAAAGCTTCAAAAGAGCATGGCACTCTTCCTATTAGTGTCAATTTTGGACTACGTTGGTTTTTAGAGTAAGAGGACAAAACCAACAATCAATCTTTTGGAGGGAATTTCTTGGGCTGTCTAAACAGGCCATTAGGACCTATTTCATTAACAGAGACATCGGTATCTCAGCAGATGCAGCCAGCTGTCACTTATGGACCCTTTTTTAGTTATTACATAGCTATTTAAAGTCCTAAAGTATTTAGTTAGAGCAGGCATTACCTGCTCAACAGAAAACAAACACAGAGCAGTTACTTTCTTGTGGAATGGAGCTCAAAGCCCGGGTACCTGCGTACAGAGCGAGCTCAGAGGCCACATCCCCGTGCTGTTAAGGGACAAGCTGGATTCTCGCACGGTTCGTTAGCTCTAAACTCATCAGCAGGCGTGTGCTGACCGCAGCTGAATTGCTCAGATACGTATCATCACAGCACTTAAAACTTCTGAGCATAAGAATGAAAGCAGAGAGCCCGCTCAGCTCCGAGCACCCCCTCAAAAGCACTAGGAGACACAGTCCTCTACAGAGTTGGACTTGATGGTCTTAAAGGACTTTTCCAACCTAAACGGTTCTATGATCTGCAAGAGCCAGCTGTGGCTAAGCAGGTTTCAACATCCAAACCACCTCATTATTTTTTTCCCCATTACGTAAAACATCCCCAAACTCCAATACCGCAATAATGGGGAGATAATTACAAGTTCCTTCTGAAGGGAAACATCAACTCCAATAGTTGGAGCTGATCAGGAGTGGTATGGCCATTTCTCATCTCTCTGAAAAGTTGAGTGCCAGTGCAGGCTTAGATAAAAATACAGTTGAGACTGAAATATACTGAGATTGCTGTGAAGCATCTATTGCCTTGGAAAGTTTCTGGTCTTCACCTTCCTGTGCACTGGGTGCATCTCTATGCGCTACAGGCTCGGGGAAGAGTGGCTGGAAAGCTGCCTGGTGGAAAAGGACCTGGGGGTACTGGTTGACAGCCAGCTGAATATGAGCCAGCAGTGTGCCCAGGTGGCCAAGAAGGCCAACGGCATCCTGGCTTGTATCAGAAATAGTG